TTCTTGTCTATATTTTTAAAAAAAATATTAATTTTTTACTGACTAATTCATGAAAATTACTTCAGATCAAAGTTTTATTATACTTATTATCTTAATAAGCAGTGTGTTCATAATTTTACAAGACAAGCAGTACTTTATGAATACTTAAAAACACATGAAGGAGAAGCTTACTAGGAAAAATTAGACATTAATAGTAATATTAATAGGGTAAAAGAAAATATTATTATTAATAAAGAAACTATTATTATCAGTAAAGAAGAAGAAATGATTATTAGTAAAGAAAATAAAAGAATTATTATTGATTATGAAGATGATAAAATTGTTTATAGTGAAGATGATTGTATCTTAGAATTGATAAGATTATTTTCTCAAATTATTGTAATATATCATATAATTCTGCCAATTTTAGAAATAAAGATTTAATATTATAACAGGATTTACATTATTATCAAGATAATAATATATTTCTTTTGAATTTTAGTGATGATGAATGACAAAATATTATTAATAAAGAAAAAGAAGAGGATATATTCACTATTATTAATGAAAAAGAAAAGGAAGAAGATATATTTGTTATAATTAATAAAGAAGGAGATAATATGATTGTTAATTATAATTTGAATCATATTTCAAATGAAATAATAAAACTTGATATTCAATTAGATATTTTACGAAATACTGAAAATTGTGATTTGCTACAATTTCCTGACAAAGCATATAGTAAATTTATGGAGTTAATATCAAAATACCATATTTCAAATTCTGCTGGTGATGATATTCTTAAATGGTTTCATTTAATTATATGTGTAAAAAAAGCTAAGATACCTAAAAATACTATACAAGAACAAGTATTAATTAATTCTTTGAATATAAAACATATACATTTTCAAAAATCACTTGTTATAAAGTATGAAAATGAAGATTATTATTTATATCATTAACCTATATTTGATATAATTAAAGAATTATTGTTAAACTCAGATATTTTTAAGATATTATAAATAGGACTTTATTCCAGAATATTCTTCTAATGATGATGGATTACAAGAATTATATTATAATAAACAATGGACTGATAGATAGTAAGAATGTGTTGCTGAATCATTTCCTGAAAATGCAAAAATACTTTTAATTATTTTGTATTCAGATGCTACTACGTGTGATCATTTAGGAAAATCTATAGAGTATTCAGTTTATCTTTTACTTAGTAATATTTTAAATTGAAAATGAAATAAGTCAGATTCTAAAGTACTAATAGCTTATTAATCAAAACTTAAATCATTAAGTAATATTAAAGATTAAAGGAAAAAGAAATGATTATATATTAGCAAAGATAAAATTATATCAATGCTATTTTGAAATAATAATACAACCAATTTTAAATAAAAGTGATTTAGGATTTTATATTAAAATGGATAATCAAAAAATTATGGGTGTTTTCATTTCTTTCTAGTTTAATTGGAGATTTACCAGAAGATATAACATTAATATTAACCTTTAATTCTTCACAATCAAAATATTCATGTCATATATGTATTGCTACTATTGATCAACTAAATAACACTAATCTTTTATCAAATGATATATAATTACGTATTCTAGAAAATATGC